CTTTAGCATTAACAAAGGTAAGTGAGCCCATGACTTTGTTTTCTGACAGTCTGTATGTAGTCAATCTTCTTCCAGGGCTATTAGGTTCTCATATCCGGTTGGATGGGAACCCCATTACTCCCTTGATGATTCAGACTCATACTCTCCTTAAAGAGAAAGAAGCTCCTATTTTCTTACAGCATCTTAGGAGGCACCAAGGATTGCCTGGGCTTTTATCCCAAGGCAATGCAGAGGCAGTCAAGGTGGCTTCCACCCAGGTCCTGTCAGCAGGCCTGAATGAAGCTCAGTGGTTACATAACTTCACTCATGTAAACTGGCGGGGACTCCATAAGAGGTTTCCTCAAGTTCCCATCAAGGACCTAAAGAAGATTGTACATACCTGTAAGTCTTGTCAACCCTTTCTACAGGTACCGCCTCTGCAACAGCCAGGGGTAAACCCCAGGGGACTCAAGCCCAATTCCTTGTGGCAAATGGATGTCACACACTATGCTCCTTTTGGAAAGCTTAAGTATATTTTTGTGTCCATCGACACATTCTCACATGCCTGTTGGGCTACCACTCATACAGGAGAGAAGTCTAAACATGCTCAGTCTCATTTTCTCCAGTGCTTTGGTACGTTGGGATTGCCCCAAAGAATTAAAACTGATAATGGACCATGTTTTGTGAGTAAAAATTTATAAGATTTCTTTTCACTTTGGAGAATTCAACACAATACAGGAATTCCCTACAATCCCCAAGGTCAAGCCATTGTAGAACACAACCATCAAAACCTAAAAATTCAATTACAAAAACAAAAAGGGGGAATAAGCCCCCACCAACAGTTGGGTATGGCCTTATTCACTATTAATATTCTAAATTTTCAAAAAAATCAGTTGGAATCCCGGTTTCAGGAGCAGAAACCTGAGGTACGGGTAAGGTGGAAGGACCCCATTATAGGGCAATGGAGAGGCCCAGATCCATCGCTAACCATGGGTCAAGGCTTTGGCTGTGTCTACCCTACAGGAGATTCAAACCCCATATGGGTGCCTGCAAAAAACCTTAAGTGGGTAGGCCAGGATCCGACTGACTAGCATAATAGTTCGTGAGACAAAATCCCTCTCTTTATTTATATCCATCTGAGGTGAAGGACCCAGTTCCTTGGCTTCATTTCCAGTCAGCCTCTTTGACAACTGGCTGATTGGCTAAAAGGTACATGGTCTCAGAAGTATTTCAACTTGTCCTATGCCATGACTTGCTTTGTTTCTCTTGATAATGCTCATCTTTAAGTGTCTTTACCAGATAATTCAGTGACAGGGGACCCTTGGAACTGCCACGGCTCACCTCCTCATGATTATGGACTCCCCCAGGAATATACCCCCTCTGGTTGTCCGTGCTTGGCTAACCGAGTTAGGCAGAGACTAAGACTGTCACAAGCTGGCATTACCCATGCGGCTGCCCTTAATCATGACACATTTTTAGCCAAGGATAGGTAAGATGTCCCATGACAAGCACTCCTAAGACAGGACATGCACATGGCCAGGTGCATGGTCCGATGATGGGCAAGGCTTGGTCAGAGGTGACACAACCTAAGACAGGCAAAAATGCATAAGATTAGAGGAAGGAGATAGCCATCTCTCCTCAGGGAGCTGTCTATGAGATTGGTAACCTGAGAAATAAAGTCAGTCCGGCCTTATAAAATAAAAATAAAAGGGGGAGATGTGGGGACCTAAAGGCCCCGTCTTGCCAAGGTGGCGCCGAGAGGAAGCTACTGGGGCACAGCCCGATTTGTTTTGAAAGTCTGAAGGATACTTCCGCACTGCTGAGGAGTGCATGATCAGCATGTTATCATCCTTAAGATACACCCCCAGGGGGGAGGGGGATTTCCAGATGCCTTTATAAGCTCTGTAACGCATGCAATAAATGAGTTCCTACTTGACTAGACTCCCCGTTGCGTCTGATTGTTCCCAGTGCTGGGGGTGGCAAGGGCTGGTGAACAGCATGCTTACTCATCCCCAGTCATCCTTGCATGGGGGTCGCAGGCTCGAACCCCCCGCAGCTTATATTATCATATTCATGACTGAGATCAAACAAATCCATTAAACAACAAATTCTGCAATGGCATTAGCATCACTAGGCCCTACTTCTATAGAAATAAGTAGTTAAAATGAAACATTCCTGTTTTGTGAGACAGACCATGCAACCTTGTCTTCCTGAGTCTGGGTTACTTGCTGTCTTAGTTACTTTTCTTTTGCTGTTTCACCATGTTACTTTTCTTTTTTGTTTCACCATGACCAAGGGAACTTATAAAAGAAGAGCTTATTTAGCAAAGAGTCCACCATGGTGGGGAGGCATGGCAACAGAGGAGGCTGGAGTAGGAACAGAAGCAAAGCTCTCACATCTTCAAGCAGGCACAGGAAGCAGAGAGCAGGAGGTCTGGCAAGCTTAATAACTCTGTAAGCCAGTGATGTGCTTCCTCCAGCATGGCCACACCTTCTAAGACCTCCCAAAACAGCAGCACCAACTGGGGACAAAATCCTCAAATACTTGGAGCCTATGGGGGACATTCTCATTCAATCCACCACATTCCTGGCAATAAAGAAAGAATAGGTACTAGAGAGTGGGCTGTTGACTGTGAGGTACCTGACCATGTGGGTTTTTGGAGAAATGTGGAACTCTTTGGAAGTTTGGACTAGAAAAGTGGTTGATTGCTGTAAGCAGAACTTAACAGGCCATTCTAGTAGGGGCTTGGAAGAATGTAGTACTGAGAGCAAAGTAGTTCCAGGGGGAAATAAGGACTTAAGCAACAACTGGAATATTTAGGCAAAGGGTCAGGCCAGAGTCTGCCCATAGCCTAAAAGCTTGCCTGAGGCTAAATTAAAAAGCAAATGGATTAATTTCTTTGGCAGAGGATATTTCAAGCAGCCCAAATGTAAAATTGGTGGCATGGTTATTAATGGTGAATATCATGCAGATCTACAGTGAAAAAGACCAAGTGGGGCAGAAAGAAATGCAGAATGAACAGTTTGTATTGAAAAAGGGCACTAGGAAGATTAATGTTGGAGCCAAGTCATATGAGTACTGAAGGAGATCCCTTTGATAAGGAGATTAAAGTGACTAAGGAAAGGCCTAGAGATTTGTACTTAAACAATGGAAAGAGTACCTTCAGGGAAAGAGCACACCCAGCTAAGCCTCCAACTTGTGAAAGAAAAATGCTGGAGGGGTTTTCTAGGAGTAGAAAACCACAGCTCAGAAAAGCTTCAAAAGTGGATGAAGCAGGCCAGGGTCGACTCCAAACTTGCAGCCAAACTTGGCAGTATCATTCACCTGGTGCTGGCTTTAGAGGCATGAAGGATGCAAAAGTGATGGGGTCATTGGCTCTCCTGTGGTTTCAGAGAGCTGCTGAAGCCAAACAGCATAGAGCAGGGGTATCCCTGCATAAAGAAGGCCCTGATAGGCCACTGTGTGAAGCTGTGAAGGTGAAGCTTGGTTGGCAGTGGAGACCCCAAAAAGACATTCATGATGCCAGACTGTGAGACATCTGCCAAGGAGAGCTGCATTCAGGGAGTGGTACCTGAGAGAGATATATGATTCGTACAGCAAAGCTGGAAAGGCTGAGCCATCTAAGCCCTTTGGAAGTAAAGTCTCAGAAGATGGACATGGAGCTACTGGATTTGGTGTTTGCCCTGCTGGTTTCCAGTCTTGTTTTGGTCCAGTAGTTCCTCACTGTGCCTCTATTCCTCTCTTTTGGAATGAGAATGTGTATTTTATTCCACTGGATGTCAGGAGTATGTAATTTGTCTTTTGATTTTACTAGGGCTTACAGTCAAGATATTGCCCCAAGTCTCAGAAGAGGCTTTGGATTATGGACTTTTGAATAGTATTGAGACTGATAAAGACTATGGAGACTTTTAAGGTTGGACTAAGTTTGAATTTTATATGGTCATGAGCCTATGGGGGCCAGGGAATTGAAAGTGGTGGTTTGAATAAGAAAGTACCCCATAGGCTTCCAGTATTTGAGCATTTTGTCTCCAGTTGGTGGTGCTGCTTTGGGAGGTCTTAGAAGGTGTGGCCATGTGGAAGCAAGCATGTCACTGGGGTAGGCTTACAGAGTTCTTAAGCCTTGAGGGATCTCCAGTTGCTCTCTGTTTCCTGTGCCTGCTTGAAGATGTGAGAGCTTAGCTTCTGCTCCTACTCCAGCCACCTCTGCTGCTATGCCTCCCACCATGATGGACTCTTGCCCTTTTAGAACTGTAAGCTAAAATAGTCTTCCTTTTATAAGTTCCCTTGGTCACAGTGTTTTATCACAGCAACAGAAAAATAACTAAGACACCTGCCAAGCCCTATTTTCACTGTTTCCTCCACATATGTGTTCTCTCCCCAGCTCACCAGGGGAGCCCTGTTTGGTGGCTATGCAGCTTCTATGTGGCTATTTTGCTCTTGCCCATCCATCTTCCCCAGCAGAGGTTCACTCATGTCCTATACTCCCACTGAGATGCTTTCCTCTTCTCAGCTTCCTTTCTCTTCCTAGAGTTCTGACCTATTCTTTTGACTTTTTTTGGTTCCATCTCCCCTGTCTGCCCACCCATCCCCTTCCTCAACCCCCCAAAATAAACACAGAAGGAGCAGCCTGATGAAAGTGAACCAGCAGGGTGTGCAGCACCAGAGACCTAGGATTCCTGCCCTGCCTCTGCTGTATGACCTTGGGCCTGCCACTTTACTTCTTTGGTTCTCAGTTTCCTCCCTGTACCATGAGGTACATTCTGTTGAATAAACATTGAAATAATTTAACCCAGCTCTTAAAACAAACTATCATCCTGAAAATTTAAGGAAGAGATATTTAGCTACCAGTTCCATTACCCTCCTTCTCTCACCATACCACTCTACCTCCACCACTATGCTAAGATAATGCCAACCATCTGGTGAGTTTTATTATTGTTATTTTAGTGTTGAAACTAAACAACATGTCCTTGTTCTGTCCATGCATCCCACTCAGTAACCACACTGGAAATCCAAACACTCACCGTGAATTTCTCATAGAGCTCATAAGTCAGGAGGGGGTTGGGCAGCTCCCTGAAGTAGAGCTTGCAGAGGGAGCCCACACAGTGGATGTCCTGGAGGTACACTTCCCTTGTCAGATCTGGACATTGATCTGAGCCAAACTCTTGCCTGAAACAACACAGACGGAGACATAACAATCCAGGGGAACATGTGCTCCATGTCAGCTGCTGCTTGGCAGCACAGGGGTAAAAAGACCCTCTATGGCTGGTCTGCCTGTACTCTTGACCTCCACACCACTCCGGGCATCAGGAGGCCATGGGGCAGCACCATTTGGGGTCTGAAGCTGGCTGGTAGGTCAGCTGTGATTAGAGGACATGAAACTCATTTGCAAATAGACTTCCCTATGGTGTTGCATCTACAGTCCTGGTTATGAACACGGGGGAAACATGAAAACATTTTGCCAAAACAGCCTACTGAGATTTCAGTTTTTCCAAAGGATTGCTGCAAATGAAATTCTCTTTCTTACAGGAGCAACCCCAAACTAGGGTAGGCGAGACCCTGTCACCCATCTCCACAGTCATGTCACAAACTTGCTTTATTTGGAGACTCAAACCCAAGGCTGGAGGACCTTACTCAAGTATTTGAGGCTCGGTAGAATTTTCTAGACTGCCTGATAGTGACTCCTACAGGTTACATGAGTTCCTGAGTATCTTCTTAAGCAATTAATAATGGAGTTCTGAGAATATCATATTTAGATTTCAGGTTTGGCTTCTGTTTGCTTTGCTTTCTTTACTTTTCTTTTTCTGAAAAAGATCTCACTCTGTAGCCTAGGCTGGTTTTGAACTCACAATACTCAGACTCCTGATTATGATCAGGCTTGGTTAATGTTTGTTCTATAATTTAAAAACTTTTCCAGCCTGGTGTGGTGGCACATGCCTTTAATCCCAGCACTCGGGAGGCAGAGGCAGGCAGATCTTTGTGAGTTCAAGGCCAGCCTGGTCTACATAGTGAGTCCCAGGACAGCTGGGGCTACAGGGAGACCCTATCTTAAAAAGACAAAAAATGAAACAAAACAAAAAAACCTTTTCCTTAAAAAGTTACATGCATACACTGCCTCAAATAATATGTATTTGGAAACTACAAATGTGTTTTAAAAAGTGATAAACTTGGGGGCTGACGAGATGGCTCAGCAGTTAGGAACACTGGCTGTTCTTGCAGAAAACCCGGGTTCAAATCCCAGCACCCACATAGCAGCTAACAATTGTCCGTAACTCCAGTTCCAGGGGATCCGACAGCCTCTTCCGTCCTTCTTGGTCCTCCGTGGGCATGCACGACACTGGTGCACTTACCTACATGCAGGCAATACATGCATACACATAAAATAAAAAATAATAAAAATATTTTTTTAAAAAAATGGTAAACCTTGGCTTTAACATAAAAGTTAGGTTTCTGAGTGTGTTTCTTGGTCAAGAAGGTGTGATAGGATCTACAGGTCTCTGAGAACCAGCATTTTCACAGCAGCCAGCTGCTTACCTCTGCTCTGGCTCTGCCCCTTCAAAGAAGAGGGGGAAACTCTCTGATGTTGTCAGAACCTGAGGGCAACTCATGGGGTCTTGAGTAGAAAGCTAGTCTGCCTCATGGCTTCATGAATGCATGGGCATATGTTTTTTTTTCTGAGAATAGAAGAAAAGAATCTAGAGCTTATTAATTTACTTAGTTCAAGTTTTCTCTTGTCAAGGCTAAGGCTAGTCTTAAAATGAAGAATTTTCTCCTACCCAAACATCTTTCTAGGATACCAACACTGTCATGCACTTCAGACCTTAGAGTCAGTCAACTATTGAGAAATACTGCTCTTAGAAGCATGGGGGTGCAACTCAGTGTAGAGTACTTGGTTAACAGGCTCAGGGCACTGTGCTGATATCCACTACTGCAAGAAAAAAATGCTGTTAGTGAAATTCGAAGACATGGTACACTCAGGTCAGGTATGGTGGCACACACCTGTAATCCCAGAATTTGGGAGGCTGAAGCAAGAGAATTATGAGTTCAAGGGTAGTCTGAGCTACAAAATGAGACTCTGTCTTAAAAAAATAAATAAATAAAAAGCAAAATCTGTAAGCTCAGAGTGGTAGTGCACACCTTTAATCCCAGCACTCAGAGGCAGAGGCAGGTGGATCTCTGTGAGTTTGAGGCCAGCCTGGTCAGCAGCCAGAGTTGCATGGTGAGACCCTATTTTTTCGAAAAAAAAGGAAAAGAAAAGAAAGGAAATCACATTTGTAAATTAAATTATACAAATACAGAGATTCATTAAAGCCCTCAAAAGGCCACAAAAGCCCTCGGGTGTAGCTCAGTGTTAGAGCACTTGGCTAACATATACAACAGCCTGGGTTTCATCCCAGCACCACAAGGAATAAAAATAACAAATGTAGCCGGGTGTGGTGGCGCACGCCTATAGTCCCAGCACTTGGGAGGCAGAGGCAGGCAGATCTCTGTGAGTTCAAGGCCAGCCTGGTCTACATAGTGAGTTCCAGGACAGCTGGGGCTACAGGGAGACCCTGCTTCAAAAAGACAAAAAAAAAAGAGAGAAACAAAAAAGAAGAAACAAATCTATACTGGCTCTAAACCATTTGTTTTTCTTTAAAAATTTTTTGATTTATTTATTTTTATTTTCTGTATATGAGTGTTACGCCTGCATGTATATAAGTGCCCCCATGTGGTACAATGCTCAAACTAACGAACATGTAATAAACACATTAAAATAGCACTGAATGTTCCTTTTGCATTAAAAGCAATATGCATAATATGCAAACTCATTGCATTAGTCACAGAAAAATACACATTCTTTTTAAAAAATATTTTATTATTTTTATTTTATGCTTATGAATGTATTGCCTGCATATATGTAAGTGCATCTGTGTCATGCAATGCCCAAGAAGGTCAGAAGAGGGTGTTGGACTCCTCTGGAACTGGAGTACAGATAGCTACTATGCGGGTGCTAGAAATTGAACCTGGATCCTTTGCAATCAGTGCTCTTAACTGCTGAGTCATCTCTCCAGCTCCTACATACACACTATCTTATGCCTTGAATATTCCATATACACACCACACATCTCTTCTTGTTTTTGTCTTTTTAATATGACAGAAAATTCTTCAAAGTGTTTAGGATAAAGTCATAGTATGAAAATTGAAAATCCATCAATAACTGAAACTTTAAATTAGTGTTGACAGGTTGGGGGGTAGGGGGATGACACAATTGCCTCTTCAGTCATATAGAGTTCTGAGTACAACTTTGTGGAGTCAGTTCCCTCCTTCTACCTTTACTTGGGTTCTAGAGATTGAATTTGGATAATTGGGCTTGCCCAAGTCATTTCTTTGGCCCCAACTAATTAAAAAATAATTAGCATCAATTGGAGATGTATGATTATGCAGCCTTCTGATTTTTTAACCAGATGAAATATCAAATATGTACCCAAAGAAAACCTCCGAAGGATCTTCATGTTTCCAACACTATGTGAAGGGCTCTAAGCTAAATGGTCTTTGGGTAAGCATGTTTTCTAACTTGTAACTTAGATCACCTGAATTAAACCCAATCCTCCAAAGAAGCATAAACCTTGCCCAAGACAAAGAAAAAGGTGTTTTCATTGGAAAAAATCCCACCAGGCTTGGAGTCTTCTGATTAGATTAAGAACAGCCAGGCATCTCAACACTGCTGCTCTTCACTGAGGCCGGGCACCCCTCCCTCTCCTCCAGCCTTTTGGTACCCCCAATAACAGTCAACAGAGGCATGGACAGAGAAAGGCTCACTGGAGGATTCCTGTTTTTTTTTGGCTTACCTTAGCCGCTGTATGTTTGAGGTGACACCTGAAAGACGGTAGACTCCATCCACAATGCCGTGAGTCTCTATAAATTCGGCACAGCTCTTCAGCACATGTGGAACTATGTGAAAGAAAAGAAAAAGCCAAGAATTAGATGTAAATCTGTCCTTTAAAGACATCCTTTTAAAAATTTAGGTTAAGTTCAAAGAAAAATTGGGTGGAACTTAGAAGAGTTACAGGTGGAAACAATTACTTATAAGTGGTAAGCAATGCTCCTTTTGAGATTTGATAAAGTTCTAAAGACTCATGTTTGAGGCCCAGTGAGCATGGTGGTTCACATCTGTAATTCCAGCCCTGGGGAGTTCAAGGTCATTCTTAGCTACATAGTGAGTTTGAAGCCAGCCTAGGCTATAAGACCCTGTCTCAAACAAAACAAACCCCTACAACTTCACATGTCTTAAGAGTTTTTTTAAATAATTTGAAAAATATATAGAATAAAACCACTTTTATCTTTGAGTAACTGATACACACCCTCCTTTGTCTGAGGGCCCTTCTGAGTGTGCAGTGAACGGGGATTTGGTGGACAGACTAAAGTCTTTAGTGGCTCCTGGATGTCTAGAGGTGGCACAGGCCCTCCCTGAAGGAAGGATTAGTTTAGCACTGCACCAACGCCCCCGGCATGCACTCAGTCCTTCCTCAGATCAGACTAATGCAATTCATTTATGCTTGTTGCACAAGTTTATTCCCAAATACAATTCCATCCTGGACTGTATCTTTCTTGTTTTGAGATAAGGCCTTGATATATAGCCCAGGCTAGCCTTGAATCTCCATTCTTCTGTTTTAGCCTTCTGAATGCTGGGATTAAGGCGTATACCACCACATCTAATTTAGATTTGACTTTTTTTGTATAGATACTAGATACTTAAATTCAACATTTTACCTAGATACTAGGTGTTCAACATTCTACCTAGACACAAAGTTTTAAGATCCAACATCTACTTATTATCATTATTATTATTATTGTTGTTATTATTATTATTATTATTGGGGGCTAGAGGCTCTAACCCAAGGCTGCTTGCATGCAAAGCAAGTAGTCTATCACTGAGCCATAGTCTCACCCTACCTAATTTTCTAAGCACCCCTTTTTCTTGCTGCTTTGAAATAACCATACTTTTGGGCACTTAATCAAGTTCATCATTCTAAAAGTATCCTGCCCATCCCTCGAAGGCTATGCATACCAAGAGCCCTTCCCTTCAAGGACACAATCTTGTTTTGCCCATGGCTTATCCTGTAAGACAGGAACTGGGGAGAATCTTCCAGTTAACCTAAGTGTGAAGAGGTCAGAGGGTAGATTTTTGGATTGGAAATATCAAGGCCAGAGACTACAGAAGTGGATTCCTGTGAGTGAATATGGGCTGGGAGCAGGGTGTGGGAGCAGGCTGGGCTCCAGATCTTCTGACTGTATTCAACCAGAATAACTACAATTGGATCTGTTTTATTAAAATATGGCATCGCTAAGTCTCTGTCTCTTATCCTCATGTAAATAATGAGAGAAACAGAAAGTTCCAGTGCTTAAAATAATACAACACTGGGCTGGAGAGATGGCTCAGTGCTTAAAAGCACTGGCTGTTCTTGCAGAGGACCTGGGTTTGGTTCCCAGCACCCACATGGCAGCTAACAACTGTCTGTAATTCCAGTTCAAGGGCACTCTTCTGACCTCTGTGGGCATTGCATGACACGGGTGTACTTATATACATGCAGGCAATACAGTCATACACAGAAAATAAAAATAATAAATAAAATATTTTTAAAAATCACACACACACACACCCTTGCCCCTTAAAAATCCCTGTGGTGTAAAGAATGGTTGAGTCTGTCCATACCACATGAAACTGTTCCATAACTTGTCACATGTAGTTTATGGTTGAGAGGGTAGACTTAAATGCCAAATTGCCTTTGTAGCCTTGGGTAAAATATATAATAAAGGTAACACTGACATTAACCTCATGATGAGGATTGAAATAATACTTGTAAACATTTAGCACAGAGCCTGGCACATCAAGTTTGCTGCAGTGGGCTGGAGAGATGGCTCAACAGTTAAGAGCACTGGCTGTTCTTGCAAAGGACCTGGGTTCTGTTCCCAGCACCCACATGGCAGCTAACAAGGGTCCTTAACTCCAGTTCCAGGGGATCTGATGCCCTCTTCTGATCTCTGAGGCCACTGCATGACATGGGTACACTTACATACATGCAGGAAATTCACTCATAGGTATGAAATTAAAATAATAAAATGTGGGAAAATGTTGTTGCAGTGGCAGCTGTTATTTCTGTTTGTAGCTTGTTTAGGACATAATTAATAATTTGAATTTTCTTGTTGGCAACAGAGCTCAGCCCCTCCCATCCAAATGGGCTCATTCCACTCAAAACTCATCTCTACTCTTTGGAACGGCTGCTGTGTCCTTAGATGTTTCTATTTGAGAATAATTCCTCTCAGGTCTCTGTTCTGTGTATTTAGGTGACTCTTTGTGGCACAAAGCACTGTGTATTTTACAGGTGGGGAACTACAAGGAGACTCCTTGTTCATGGTCTATGTAAGCATGTGGCAATATTATAACTACCCACAGGAAGAGGACATGGTTCCAGTCCTGGCCATGTGGAATGGTAACTGTCATGGATTCTGATCTTGGGCCAAGTAGGAAGGTGTAGGTCTCCCTCACATGCAGTAATGAGAAAGGATTCACTCCATCTCACTTATGGCAGTGGTATTCAGGCTGCCATCATAGCTGGAGGTGCTGGCCTACCTTGCAGCTTGTGAAACACAGATGTGCATACACATCAAGGAGATCTTGTCAGTCGACATGCTTTGAGAATTTACATTTTGAATAAGTTCTCAGGTGACACAGTACTGTTGATCTGCAGCCACTCTCAGGGCAGCAAGGGCCTAAAGATGGATGGGACCCAAGGGATGTTTTTGTGGAGGCTACCGCGACTTTGGTCTCCAAGTCTCAGGATTCTTTAGACTGTTGTTTCTAGGGTCCAACCAGATGGAAGACAGTTTAGGATTCTGATACAAACCATCTCGCTAGGTTTAAATGTAAAGAAAGCTTTCTGTGTCAATGCAAGCATGGGGAGGAGTAACTCCAGAGGTTGGAGTCACAGAGTTTGCTCAGCCCAAAGAACTTTGGGTCTCCTCCTACACAGGTCCACACAGTTGCTCTCTTGGATGTCATGTTATAATGTCTTTGAATTGTTTCACTGATGCTTCTCCAACTCCCTTTTTTGGTTTGGTTTTGTTTTTCTTGGATCAGCAATCTTAAAAGTTAACTTTTAATCAGCACAAAATGTTTTTTTGAGATGGTTTCTGATGGAAAAGAAAGTCTTGTTTCTCATTTACCCTTTCTCATTTATGCAGCATTATAGGGCCCCTTGACTCCTTCAATCTAACTTAGTACAACTAAAACACATCTTCTACAGATAAACAGTGTGGGTGACTCTCTGATTCCTGAGCTATGCAAGGGTTTAGAGCAGAAAAAGGCCGCAGTCAAACCTTTCTGCATCCCCCCCAGAAGTCAGTTCCCCAGTCTCAGTTCCCTGTGTGACTGGGGTCTGGAGGAGATGGAAACACGCTTGGTTCTTTTCAGTCACTCATGAGGTCATCAAAGCCACATTTCTTCAGAATGCATTAAGCTGCGTTTGTGTTTTAGAGAAGCAGGCACACCCCATCCCCATGCTGATCTCCTACTGTTCAGATTTCATCCCTTTCTGGGTCATGCATTCCTGACCTTCAAGTGAAGTGTGATGGGGCATACATAAGAGGAATGAGACTTGGCATGACAAGGAGTGACAAGCCCAGGGGTGCATCTCAAAGGTATGAGGATGGGCGAAAAGCCAGTCCATTGAGTCTATGTGGAGGGGTTGGGAGTTGGCACCACACTAAGAGTGCTTACTGCTCTTACAGAGGTCCTGGGTTCCGTTCCCAACACCCAAGGCAGCTCATAGTCATTTGTAACTCAGTTCCAGGAGCTCCGTCACCCTCTTCTGACCTCCAAGGGTACCATAAGGCACATGCATACTCATACACACATACATATTAATAATAATTATTATTATTATAAAATCTTAAGGGGCTGGAGAGATGGCCAAGTGGTTAAGAGCACTGGCTGCTCTTTTAGAGGACCTGGGTTCAGTTCACAGCACCCACATGGTGGCTAACAATAGTCTGTAACCCCAGTTCCATGGGATCCTACGCCCTCTTCTGGCCTCTGTGAACATTGCATGACACAGGTACACTTACATATATACAGGCAAAATACTCATACACTTTAAAAAATGAAAATAAATTTAAAAAACATTAAAAAACCCAAAATCTTTATTTAAAAAAAAGTGCAGGGGTGGAATGGCTCAGCAGTTAAGAACACTGGCTGTTGTGCAGAGGACCCAGGTTCAGTTCCCAGCTCCCAGCACCCAGATGGTGGCTAACAACCCACATAAATGCCAGTTCCAGGGAATCTGACACCCTATTCTGGCTTCCACAGGCACTGCACACTTACATAGATGCAGGCAAAACACTCATACACATAAAATAAAACTAAAAAATTTTAATGAAGAGGTCATATGGCAAAATTCCATAGCCATAAAACCCAGGAACTGCAGAAAGAGAAAGCAGGGAGGAGGCAGGGTAGGCAAGGGGCTGAGGAAACCTCGGGACACAGGAGTCTGTTCACCACATTGTTCAAGATCATAGGATGGTCCAGGAGCCACTGCTGAGTGAAGAATGATGTAGCCCGAGGAGCCATAGGACAGGAGGGAGATAAACCACATGGGGGCCCTAAGCACGTGGAGGGGATGACCACACCATAGAACCACTTAGTGGCGCACTTCCAAGAGATGCAGCAAAGATGCCAAGGTCCTCTTCACTATAGCATGTCCTTGGTGTTTTCTTCCCAGAATCTTGGAGCTGTCTCAATGGCGCCCTGGGACTTCTGTCTTTATCAGCTCTGCTTGTCCACAGTTCCTGAGCCTGTCTCTGTCCTGCCCTCTTCCTACCTTCTGTGTGACTTCCCTGCAGGCCATTTCCCCCACCCCCATCTCCCTCTGATTCTCATTTTGTTACTTTCTCCT